ATAGAGTTTTCGATACTTTGCTATCACCGAGGTTTCACCGTTGTTTGCATTGCTGTGTTCATCGACGGCGGCACTTCGTAAGAGTGGTTATCACTGGTGAAACCCCCCATCATAATTTGCTGTATGGGTGGTAGAAGTGGAGATGGAAACGACGATTTGGCGGAGCTATTTTGTACGAAAACGGAGCGGAGGAGGACAAGCATATGTTTTATTTATAGCAAGCATATGTTTTATTTATAGCCAATGAAATTTGAGTACCACTTATCCGAACCAGATTCCTCGGCCGTCAAGCGGACTATTAATGGGCTTAGTCATAGACAGACCAGTCAATATGACGATTGTCGCACATGCGTATGCTCGGGGAACGCACTTTGTGATCAGGTACATTAACCCATTAGACCTCTAACCCAGAGACTGAATGACTGGCGAAACAGGAAGCAGTTTATCATCCTCTCAGCATTCATGTAGTATGTGAACGATTTGACGAAGTCCTCACTTTTCAATAAAAAGGATGGACGTTTTCGGAATATTGTGAATCATTTCCAATTGAGTCGAAACGATTTCCAATGGTCAAAAAGGAATCATATCCTATTTCTACACTAATTAAGTAACTATATAAGGAGATTCCTTAACAAAAAGCGGCAAATTCGTAACATGTAGTACGTCCTAAACCCAACTACTTTTGATAAAACCTACTCCTCAATTCGTCAAAATAAGTACACATGCCTAATTAGACATATTAATTCTAGAACAGCAGATTGCTACCATATTCAGCATCGCTGTTCGAACCCAAATCAGAATCACTGCCACCCACAGCACTTCCAGCAACGAGAGAGCTCTCAGCAGCTAACATAAGAGTCAGTCTCGCCTTGCGTTTCGTCCTGTAGGTACGAGCAGACGTCTTTTTGCCCTTGTCCTTCTTTGAACCGATTAAGGCCATGCGATTGATGTACTGAGAATACACTTTCCCGTCGTCGGCACGCAGCGGATGCAAGCGGATATGTACGTTTGTCAGCGCCATGCACGTTTGAAACAACACGTCGTAGTTGTCACGCGACCATCGATAGGTCTCACCGCACACAGCCCACAACGTCTTCATCCGGCCGAAAAAGTTCTCCACGATCACACGATCGCTTGCAATGCGATCGTTCGAGCGGATGTCATCAAGCGTGAGGATACCACCTGCTGGTTTCTTCTTCGGCAACACAGCACGCACGACCCGTTGGATTCCTTGGTACCCCTTGTCCGCTATGACGGCCCACTGGTTCGTGCCTTCATCCCCGTGGTCGGCAATGCGGTCCTCAGTAGCTTGCTTGGATAGGGCAGACACGTGAAACTCGAGGTTGTCGTCGAAGATGGCCTTGTCGGAGACGCTGCCCTTGTAGTGCGCGGTACAATTGATTGCAAAGCCGTTGGGCAGGACGGACACTTCAACTTTATGGCCGTACTGGGAATGCTTGCCACTGAAGTACGTCTTCTTCTCGGCGTAACTGCCCAATGGAACATTTGTTTGTTGAAACGTCACGTCGGTTGCGTAGCAAACGAACGGGAAGTTAGCGAATTGGTGACCACTGGTTGTGAGCAACGCCATTGAATACTTTTCGCCGACGGTAGTCACGTACTTGCGGAGGAGGAAGGGGTGCAGGGATTTAGCAAAGCTCATCGTTCTCATTTGGAACGTTGGACTGTGTTGTTTGAATGTGACAGCAATGACATCTCAAGAGCCGCAGTGCTTCAATGACGTCAGGAGCATCAGCAGCAGATCGCGTGCAGACACCTCAGACTTGCGTCCTGAGCCGACGTTCCAGTGCTTGGTGACGTAGATGCGGACGTCGGCCCACAGTACGTTGAACTCCGACGGACTGAAGTTGGTCATAGTGTGAATGCCGTTTGCTCCTTGGGTCTCAAGGAAAGCGTCAAAGATAGGGCTTGCAGAGTCAGGGTCTTCATCAGGTTCCTCTGGACGGACCGTGGGGTTTCGGGGTTTCGGGGTTTCGGGGTTAATAGGAGGTTCCCAGAAGGTTCCAGGTATCGGATCGCTTTGATTTTTTTTTAGTTAAATGCGCAATGAAAAAGTATGTGGTGAACAACCCGGGGAATTTGGGGTTCGTGGGCTACTTTTTGTGTGGTCTGCATTTTACTGATTCTGCACCTTGTAATTTGATACTAATTCGTACAGGTATCCTTATATGAGTACAGACACTTGAACTAGGTGAAATAGTATCTGAAAGTTTGTATATGCATACAAATATTTAGATATTTTCTGAGTAGCACTTGGAGGAATGAATTCTTGAACTATGCAGTTGTTCATAAGTTACAAGCTATCCATAGTTGAGGATACTGTATGGACGTACAGTCTAAGCTATTGACATAATACGATGGAAAGAGATTAATGATGTCAACGAATCAAATGGCTATAAATAGAACTCCCATCAGTGAAATCGCGCCAAGAGCATAGCCATAAAGACGAATGAACAATCAATTTAACAGACTTAACAAGGCGAAGCGGTGCTTAGAATTGTTGTAGTTAGCACGAATAGAGTCACTGCTGTCCATTCAAGGTACCCTTTTACATTTCAAACTGATGCTTTTACCGTATTATATTATGCTTTTACCGTTTTGTACAATGCTTTTACCGTTATATACGATGCTTTTACCGTTGTATACACGGTGTTTACCTCCCACTTCTTACTAAGTATCCTTTTGCCTACGATTGAACCCTTTAACCTGATATTGTCGGACGTTAGACTATCCATTGTTCCCATGGCGCCGAAAAGTAGTCGTACTTGGCGGCAATCGAAGTTGCCGAGACATGGTGTCATTACCGGCGAAAGCACGAAACGCAACGCTCAAGACCTTACCCTCGGAGGAGGTCCTCCCAGTGCCATCGGCTGGCGGCAAACGAAATTGCCAAGGCGTGGTGATTTTATCGCTGACGACAGCTCAAGTGACGAAGTTGAAGAAGCGATGCATGTTACGCTTGGAGGAGGTCCACCCAGTGCACAAGTGCAGATGCAGGGTCGCCAACGCGATCGAACGCCGATTGGACCTAACACAAGCATGCCTGGCTTTTCGGTTGACGTTGGGTTTCACGCTACTGGTGGTAATGTTATTGACCTTTGCAAGTCTGACAACGAGCGTGACCACGACTTTATCGACCTTTGCACGTCTGACAGAGAATCTGATCAAGACGTTATTGACCTCAGCAAGTCTAACAGCGACCCAGAACCAAACGAAGTCATCACGGAAGGTCGTCAAGATGGTGAAATTCTACGGATCTTAGGTGATGTGTTTGATTCATTGCTTACACAAGAAACTAACCATGATTCGAAGTTACTTCAACAACACGGGTTTACAGATGACACGAATACCAACGGTGGCGACGACGACGAAACGAAGGAGGGCCCTCCACGCCGTTCTTTAACGCTTGGAGGTGCTGCTCCGAGTGCATCTCGCCAAACTGCAGGCGCGTCCGGTCAACCAAGTGGGCGTCGCACGAATGCCAACGGTGGCGACAACGACGAAACGAAGGAGGGCCCTCCACGCCGTTCTTTAACGCTTGGAGGTGCTGCTCCGAGTGCATCTCGCCAAATTACAGGCACGTCCGGGCAACCAAGTGGACGTCGCACGAATGCCAACGGTGGCGACGACGACGAAACGAAGGAGGGCCCTCCACGCCGTTCTTTAACGCTTGGA